ACCTATATTCTCAATATTCAAATGAGTTCTCGCATTTTTGTATTATTGTGTTGCATAAAATGAGATACGTTCTAGTTTAACTTACTCTAACTTGGTGCTCAGATAATTAAATTCGAATATCTCGAATTTATTGCAAAAAAATAAGGCCCGTTTGGGAGTGATTTTTTATCCCAAAAAAATAATTTTTTGACCATTATTTCAGTATTCCAGTCATATTTTTTGACTTTTTCTCTCATATGTGGCCCCCACTTTTCTCCTAACGGTCAAAAAATCAATTATTAAAATCACTAACAAACAGGCCATAAATCTAATTGAAATTAAAGTTATTTATGATTTCGAATCAAAATATTATTATAATTTGAATGTGAAGATGAGGAGATCGTGTATAGGGTCCATAGGGAGGCAACAATAGAAATGCGATAAGTTTGGCTTTTAACTATATGCTTAGCATGGTGTTTGTTGACATCGCATATTGGACCCTCCACATGGTTAATCGAGAATCACTCCACGTGTTTCTCCCTACGCACAAAAACAAAAAGTCAGACGTATACGATCGATACCAGCGGGGTGGTGGCGACCATACATACTTTGACGGTCAAATCAATGGACGGTAATAGGGACGGTGCCGAAATTATGCAAGAGAGTGGCGAGAAGAGTATATATTGCTTGGTTGTGGAGTGTCTAGAATTAGAAAGATTACATTTGTCTCTTGCCAAGCCTTTGGTAATTATAGGCAAAGGGTGCCGTTGGATGTGGAACACGTGTATGCATTTGACAGTATGAAGCGTCTGCTCATTGGCGTCAATCAATCACATCCTAGGGAAGGCGGGTAATTAATTCTTCTGACATGTAAGTTGACATAAGGTTGCCCTGTCGCATCAATCAATTCATATAGATAAGGGGATCCTGACACAGGGATACATATTTGAAATTGACGGCGAAGGGGCCTCCGCACTCCTCCATCATGTGATGCCTTGTCTCCTCACACTTCGGTGTTAAAGGATGCGTTGGATAGTATCACTTAGGCAGTATTTGTGCCTCACAAGTGCATCGAGACGTATACCACTTCGGTATTGCCTCGGATGATGCGTTCCTCCACCATGTGATGCCTCATCCCTCAATCTTCGGTGATGTCTCAGACTAACGCATGGCACCTCGTTGAGGTGGTTAGTGAGTGGCGTAACAGTGTTCATGTCACAAGTGCATAGTTAGTTGTACGATATAATCCGACTCAATGGATCGAGATGCAACAAAAGTGGACCAGAGAATGAGTTTCAAATGTTCAAAATAAGTATAGGTTGGTAATTGGTTGTGTAAAGCAAAAGATGTATACCCATTAGTATAATGATTATCCAATCAATCAATTTGGAAAGCGATGTAGCACAATTGGCTGGGCTGAGTTGGACCACTTGGGCACGATCAATGGGTCACAACCATTCACTTTGGTCCTCTAATATTTCATGGTATTATTAGGATTGGCTTTTTTAATTTTTTTTCCTTATATTATGAAGTATTAATATTGGTGTTTATGCAGATCAATTATCTTATTTGCACAATCATGGATGATATGTACATATAACTTTGATGTTAGTGCGTGTTCAGAAATATTCAATTGGATTTTGATCCGAATCAGATAAAATTATTGGGAGATGGATTTAGAATCTTAATTTGATAGCACGATGAAAATTCGAATTTGATAATCCGTTAATTAAATGAAGCAAATATGAATATACGTCAATCCGATCCGATAATAATTTGATCCGATTTATTATAATAATAAAATATATTTTATATATTATTGCATAACTTATTACACGTAATTTTTTTTCCATTTTGAAACTTATATTATACTTTACTCATGAATTTCAAATAATAAATAATAATATAATATTGTTAATTGAAATATTTGAAGGGATTTTAATTTTTTTTAATTAAAATAAGATAAAAATAATAATTAATTTACTTTATTATAAATTAAACAACCAAAGGAACCAACTGGGAGTTAATTTCATTATTCCCGACTTCACTTTTCACACCAGATACTCACTACAATATCAAAAATAATAATCTATAAATAGATGGGCCAAGAGTTGGGTAAAAAGATATTTGGACCTTTTAATTATTGGCTTAGAAGTTGACTAATATAAAATTTTTGTTTTTTCAATTTTGAATCGAGTTATCGATTAGATATCCGATAACATAGTAAATTGAATATGAATTTAACAATCAAATATCCGTTGGATTATAGGATCATATCGGATTTAGACAGATCCGATTTATATCCAATCCATTAACAATCCTAATTGTCACCAACAATTGACAAGTGTTAAAAAAATATACGAACCGTGGATGTATATTCTATGTACATATTTCATAGGAAAATTATATTCTAATAGGTTTAACGTGATTGTTAATCATGTGAGACGTAAGTGACATTTCAACTTCTTTTTTGAACAATATATGGGGATTCAAATGCAAAGAGGAATTAAAATTTAGATATCACAAAAAAATTAAATTTATGTTAGAAGTTTTCATTAAAAGTATACAAGATAAATAATTGTTCATAGATAATATCTTGAAGTTGAGTTATTGCAACTGTCACGCCTACCTTAACAAGCTTCAGCTGCCTCTCCCAAACAAACATGATGAAACCATTTAGAGCCTAAAGGGGAAAAAATGACATAATAATGCACAATAAATTATAAAATTGTTTTGTTTTGTTTGACAAAACCCGTAATATTAATTTATGGATAAGGTTGGGAAGGACATCTGCTTTTAAGAAAAAACTCATATCTTATCTCAATATATAATATGAGAGGACAAATCCAATCAATCGATCAGTTCAATCAGAAATTGAAGATCGAATTCTCTTTTTTTATTAAAATCGAAAATAAATTTAGTTGCCATAAGTTGATTGAATTTATGTTTAATAACGATATATGATTCAATCTTGGTTTGACTTTTGACCTTTTAGTGTGATGTTTGATTTAAACTTTGGAAAAATTGCAATTGGGTCTCCAAGCTTTTATCCGAATCACGAGTTAGTACCTAATCTTTAAAATGATTAAGTAGAGTCCCTATAGTTCCTTACAATTGCATTATCAACACCAAATAACAAAAAGCATTCAAATTGCCAATAATCATCTCGCAACCCAAATAAAAACATGTATCACTTCAAAATTTTCTTACGAACTCAAATCGATAGATAAAATCTAGTTTCATGAAATTAAACGAGAGGTCATTGAAGATTAAAAAGATCTTGTGCACTTTTATAATGGAAGAGTAATCGTGTAGTTATAATGAAAGGCTGATACCTGCTTATACCATTCCAAAAGTCGGAGACCTAACTTTTGCTTCGACAATAGATTGAGGACCAACAATGCTAATTTCCTTTAAAAAATTAGTAATTAATAAAATAAATCTTCTTTTTATGATTATTTTAATTATTCCGAATATGATTAACTCTGGTGGTGGCCCATGAGCATCATTGTCAATTAATCATGTTCCAATGAGTTTATGGTTGGTTAATTTTTATATAGTTTTTAGACTTTCACCAAACTTTGTTAATGAAGTAAAATATCTATTAAAATATATAAAGCAAATTTAAAATTCAAGCCCACTTGCCATGTTGTCAATAAAATATATGTAATGAATTCAAGTGGGAAATTCAATCAATCACAGTCCGTGTTGTGATTAAATTAATTGATTAAAGTTACTCACTAAAATAATAATTCAACCAATTATTAAACAACTATGTAATATAATTGTAAGATTGTTTTAAATTAAAGGGCGATTAAGGATCTGTTTGGCGAGGCTTTCAAAAAAAGAAAACCTACTTTTAATCTTGTTTGAATAATTTTCTGTCAATATGTAGTTTGACTACAAAAAACTTTTTGAAAGAAGTTAATCTAGAAAATTTTCTTAAGAAGCGCTTCTACAAAAAGCAAAACAAAATAATAGCCTTATCAAATGGCCCATAAGTTCATCATGCCGATTGCAAAGCAACAATTGCACGTTTAGTAACGTATAAAAATAGCTCTCCTACAAGAAACAAAAACAAATGTAAATCCCTACCAAACAAGCCCTAAATTCATCCTGCAGATTGCAAAGCAAAAATGGCACATTTAGTAAGGTAAATTGCACAATGTTATCTATAGAGTCCTGTCTAGTTCCATGCACTGAATATGTCACAATAAAGAACAAAAGCAATACAAATTTTAACTCCGAACGACCCTGGCTTGATGTTATATGCAAGACGATGGATGAAGAGGATGTGACAACAACAACGACAAAAAAATTAAAATCAGAAGTATATTCGAGCATGCATATTAGCTTGCCCGAGTAATATTGAACTAGAAAGAATCTATACGAGGAAAAGTAGTTGATACGGAATGAGAAAACATTAGACTGTATACAAAAACGAGGCCAAATGTAGTCCATGCCTTCCTAATATGATCGTGTCAACAAACATATATGCCATTTTAATCTGATGTTTGAACTACAAACACCACACAACAATCCCACAGATCTGTCTGAGTTCCTGTCTAACCAAATGGAAGTACTAAAATCCAATCGTCAAACATCAGTATAGTTGAATCTTTGTCGTGAGGAGGTTCATTTAGGGAAGCTAGGGGCGGAGCTAAAATAATTCGTCGCAACAGATGATGGCTGATATTGAACTTCTACAGGAATGGTCACTTGAGGATTTAAGCCAAAAAAATATTGACAATGTGGTCTACCACTACAATTTAATGGAGGAAGTTGATCGAAAACAGGAGGAAAAGCAAGTCCACTGTCAGAAAGAAGGGATTACAACAAAAGTACAACCCTAACATTTATTTCTTCCTTTTCCAAAGGACACACAACTTGCTATCCATTTATTATCCACACGATCCGTAGGACCCACAACTTAGAAACACTTAAAAGCACTATCGAACAAGCACTAAATCTTATTGCCAAAACACAGAAGTTGGACCATAATTCTGCTTTAACATCTCAAAAAGGCTCTAATTGCAGGATTTTTATCTCCCCTATTTCTTCATTAATCACAATTCTCTTAAACAGCTGCCAAGAAAATCTTCTTGAATCACATGCAGCACATCCTTTACAATCAGTGACTCCGTTACAATAACAGAACTACACTAAATGTAAATGAATAAGCATAAGCAAGTTAATAAAAATACTACTACCATTAGAGGCACAACTCTGTTTTATCAGAAAACAAGTTTTCCACAAGACTAGACTGCATAGAATCCAAGCATGAAATTTTACAGAAATTAACTGAACATCAGAGGGGATTCCATCGAATTTCAAACTTTATTAACTCGATGGCATCAAACAGTGGAAGGACACCTAACACAATATCAAACCTTTTTACTCGATCGACTCGGTGTTTTCAGCATCTCCAAGCAGTCACTGACATAAGCGCGTGATGCTGCCAGCATAGCACGAGTGATGATCGCTGCTTCTCCACATGAAATCCTTTGACTTGGCTTCTCTTGACTACACATTCAGCTTGTGTTTCTGCAAAGTTGCTGATTGATGTATGAAAGAAACCAGCAGAAGCAAAAAGGTTACTCCATGGTGGCATCAGGTTGGGGGCTCGTAGACGCCCCAAAACAGTGGTTTCAATCCGAGGCTGGAACAAGAACTTCTCAACTTTGTTGATGGAATCTGAAGCCATATTAGTAGCTTCAATAGAGTTGAGTAGAGCCTCATAATACTGAAGAGAGTTAAGTATGTGACCCGAGAATGGGAGATCAGTTCGATCACATCCACGATCAAGTGAAACCATTATTTTTGGTGACAGTTTTTTTATAAAGCAAAGAAGTGACGGAAGAACAGACAGATGACTTTCCATGGACCAGATAGGGAAATTCACAACAATGGTCTCATTTTTCGATGATCGGAAAGAGGATAAAGAATTAGAATTGGGATCAAAAGAATCAATATTCATCACCTCAAGGTTGAAATTAACGTGAAGATCATTAGCAAACTGAGTTAAATTTTCATGCATGAGGCTAAGTTCAACTGCATGATGGGTCGAAGGAGAAGCAAAGGCAGTAATTTTCAACGAGGGAGCACCCTGACCACTCCTTGGAAGCTCTTGCATAAAAGATGACCATTGAGCACCAAAACCAATATCAAAATCAATAATATGAATCTCTTCAGCATTATCAAGGGCTTCAAGAATAACCTGGTTGGCCGTGAAATTCATGAACTGGACAAGGGGTGAAACCTCGGAGAAAATCTTATAAGCACCCATCTTGAACATAACATCAAATGGTGTGGGAATCCTCGGTAGAGGGGAACCCATGTTGGGCATTAAGAGGGCTAAGTGCAAAGCCTCCTTTAAATAAAAAGCAGTCCTTTGAAAAGGCTTCCCAATGGGAGAAAGCACTTGATTGAGCCGCGCCAATATCCCTTGCGCGTTGGAGAAATTTCCAGCCAGAATCAACTCAGCTGCCTTGTAGAGTTGATCATTTACATTCTGTTGGTGCAGCTGCTGACAGTGGGGCGCCACCATTTGCTCCCCACTGCCGCTAGCTACCTCCTGCTTCGGCACCAACATTGGCTTCTGCTGAAGCTGATGCAGAGGAACAAAATTAGGCTGTTGGCCAAAACCCAATGGATCAAGAAATGGAACAGTCGCATTCTGAAAGCCTAAATCAAATTCCACAGCACTGGGGTTATGAAAATTCAGTGGCGGCTGGATGTAGTGTAGCGGTTTCTCCCGTGCACTACCATTTGATAAAGAATTCAAGTTCAAGGGGTTCAGATTTAATGCATTTTGAACCTGGAGTTGTTGTAAACCCACACGTGGGCTAAAAATCTGAGCCTTCTGCTCCAAATTCCCATATTGTTGATTATGAAAGCTCATCCCATTAGGCAAAGATAACAATTTTTTACTATTGTTGTCATTAATGGAATTCGAAAACTGACCAATTTTTCCATTGTTGTTAACATTCAAAGAAAATCCACAACCAGAAAGGCCAAAAGCAGAAGTATTCAAGCCTGAAAAAACATTACCAACCGGTGAAATGGCTGAATCAATGGCTCCAAAACAACCCACATTTCCTTGGGTCTCATTCGAGTTTCCTGCCAGTAAAAGCTGCTTCAAGCTCAACGAAGATTCGTCGACGTCGCCCGTCGAAATCCACCGGAGAAGAGAGTCTTGGCCTTCAGATTCAGACAACAAGCTCTCCCAATCTTCAACTCCAAGATGAAAATTTTCAGAAACCCCATTAGTCAACTCCAACCCAGTAGTATTGTGTCCAGGCTGCAGGTCAGCCATGACATCCTCTTTTCTTCCACCATCGCCTCCGTCGTCTGCGGCGGCTGCTATGGCCACAGATCCTTGTTGGGTGGTAGTGTTAAAGGAGGAAAAAGTGGACGTGGAAGTGGAGGGACTTGGACTCCTAGTATCCAGCACAGATATGGGTTCATAGTTTGTAAAGCTTCCATTTTTCTTGAACTTCGCCGATGGAGAAGAAAAGCCACCGCCGGCAACTTCAACAACACGTTTGGCTGGAAATTTTTTGTTATAATGCATTCCATTCATCTAAAAATATCACGAAAAAAACAAAACACAAATCTCAATAAAAGGAGGAGAAGTTGCAAAAACAAGAAGATTTCAAATTACATTACTTGCCTTATCCTTCAAAAAGGGGTTTTCTGCTCCTTTGCAAAGATTCGAGAGATGAAATTTTTGAACAATTTTCTCAATGAAAAATAAAAGCCATGGATCTCCTCAGAAAACCCATTAGCCCAACAAGAAAACCCTTTTCTGCCACCATTCTTTTCTTGTTCTTTTGAGCTCCATTTCAATATTTCCCCTCCATTGTCTTCACTTTTCACCTCTCTCTCTCTCTTTCGACCAGAGATTTTTACTTCTTCTGCTTAAAGGCTGCAGTAGCGATGTACCCTGAGGCCCTGTTCTGTCATGGATGCTTGTATTGTTGTATCATAAAAAAAGGCAATGAAAGTGGACACTTCTGCTCTTTCTCTGTCTCTATCTTTCTCTCTCTCTCTCTCTCTCTCTCTCTCTGTCCGGTCTCTATCTTTTGCTCTACTTTCTCTCTCCAGATTTCACTTTTATCCCTTTCACAATTTTTGGTGTTGATGCCTGTGTTCTTACACTTTTGCTTGTTTTGTTTGCCTGTGTCGCGGGCGGCCTCTCTAGTTTGAATTGGGTCAAACTTAATTGTTTTTGAGTCATGCTGTTTGAGCCACCAGATTTTATTCTTTATAAAAAAAAAACGCGTTATTGAAAAGCGACTCTTTTTAAATTGTGAGATGAATTTCTAGTCTACATCTGACATTATTGTGACCGTTGGATCTAGATTTTGTTGGTTGGACTATATATAGACTCTTGTGACCTTTTGTGGCACTGTGTTGTCACTTTCTAGGGTTTTCTTTCGTCTTCTCTAAGAGTTTTTCATATTTTTCGTGATTTCTGATTTTTCAATCTCTGTAAATCTTAGTGATGTCTAGATTGTATTTTGTATACAATTTGAGAGATTGTGGAAAAAGCAATTTCTTTGTAAAGGGAGGCGAAAGAGAACTTAAGTGAATAAACACTTTTGTATCGATTCTTTATGATTCTTAGTGGATTTGAGTATAATCTACTTGGTAGATGCTCAATGGGTGAGTAGGCTTCGACTGAACATCCAAGCCTTAAGGGGTGAAAATTCTTGGTGTTTTTACTTTCTGAAATTTTATTTGATTTCTGCAAATCATTTTTGTACAAATATTGATCCTATGACCAATAAGTGGTATTAGAGCACCTTTTTTTAAGGGTTAGGGTTAGGACTAAAGGTTTTCTGAAAACCCTAAAATTGCATATCTAAATATTTCTATAGTTTTTAAAGTTTTTTCTGAAAACAAAGTGTGTTTTCTGAAACTTCTGGCTGCGATTTACCTTTTATTCAATTTTTTGATTGGATCTTTGAATACTTCGTGATATTGTTGGTTCTTGTTTCTAAAAGAAATTTCTGGTTTCTTCTTATTTTTAAAGTTTTGGGTTTTCTGATAACCTCTGAGTTGTATTATTTCAAAACTCGTTCTGAGTGACGGTGAGTTAACTTGACTCACCACGATTCGTACTGGTTTCTCGTGACTAACTACTGAGTCACATTGAGTTGTTGTGATTCGTTGTGTAATATCTTTGATTGTTCAACGGATTTTGGTCTTCCCTTACTACCTTCTTCATTCTAAAACATTAAGGTTTTAGTTCTAGTATAAATCCCTTACCTTTTTTTTTAATACTTTTCAATCAACTATTAAATTGTGTACTGTCTACTTTGAGTTGGTTATTAAGGTAAGTGATCTACTGCTATCTTCATTTGTCCAAGGTCTCATGCGAAGACCTGAGAATCTGATGGGGTAGTGGACTCACGGGTCACCATTCCTTAGGCCTTTCAAATTGGCAGTTTAATTCGATTTAAATTGTTCTTGTTGATAAACTACATGCCTTGATATTAGATTGTGATATTAGAATCCTCACTGTTATCACGTTGTCTATACTTGATATATCATGTGTGACATATAAACTTGAATCTGTGATTTCATCTATAATCATGACTACTGTACAAAAATTTGAGGTAGATATATGGAGAGGGACTGGAGACTTTAGTTTGTGGCATCAGAAATTGAGAGCTTTGTTATTAAAATAGAGATGTACTGGGGCTATTGATGGGACGTGGGGTACTGAGATTAGTGTCTATGGAAGACGAGATTTCGATGAGATTGCTTGGAGTTCTATATTCTTGCACTTGTTTGATAGTGTTAATGTGTTATTAGTAAGGTTGGAGAAACTACTAATACACAAGGTCTTTGGACCAAACTTGAGTCCCTATATCTGACTAAATCCATGCCCAATAAATACTACCTACTGAGGCAATTTTACAATTTTAGATTTGATCACTCTTCAAGGTTAGAAGGGCACATTAATAAATTCACAAGACCAATTCAAGAATTAATTGATTGTGATGAGAAACTGCCTAAAGATTAACAAGTTGATGCTCTGTTAAATGAACTAGGAGATAAATACAGATATCTAAGAAATGTTTTAGAGTACAGAAGGACTGACTTTACTGTTGATATTGTTATATCATATTTAAGGAAAAAGGAACGTGAATTAAGATCTGAATCTAAGATCCCAAATTTGGGGAAGGTCTAAATGTTAGGAAAAAGGTAAATCAAAGCAAAAAGACGGACCAGAACAATCTATGCAATTTCAATTCACATAAGAAAGACCCCAATTCCCAAATTTTAGGAATCAGAATAAAACTCAAATAAAGCCCAAGCTACCTGCCAAAAATGCTACTATTATGGTAAAACTGTACATCTCATAAAAGATTGTTTTAAGAAAATATCTGATATGAAAGGAAAAACAAATGCGGATGGGTCTACAGCTATTGCCTGCAATAATGAATCTAATATTCAAGAAGTTGTCCTTGTTGCCACATCCAAAAGAAACCTAAATGAATGGGATTTAGACTCGTGCTGTTCTTTTCATATGTTCCCCATTAAAGAATGGTTCATTGGCTTTACTGAACTTTGTGGTGGTCAAGTTCAAATGGGAAATAACATGAACTGTCAAATAAAAGGTATTGAGAACCTAAAGCTTTTGCTAGAAAACATTAATATCCTTGAACTGTCCCAAACCGAATATGTGCATGACCTTCAAAGAAATTTGATTTCTCTTAGGTAGTTGGATGATGAATATGAAATCAGGATCCATAAAGGATTAACCAGAATAAGTCTAAACTCTAAAGAAATTATTCTTCCCCTAAATCCAATGGGAATTTCACACTACAGGCTGAAACATTGGTTGGAAACAACTCTGTAGTTGTGGAGTCTCATAATAACAAAACCCTAATTTGGCATAGGAGACTAGGCCACATTAGTAAAAAATGATTGACTATTTTAAACAGATTAAAATGTTTTGGAAATGATAACATTGAAAAACTTGAGTTTTGTGAAGATTGTGTTATTAGTAAACAAAATAAATTGCCTTTTAGAGCTGAGGTCCATAAATCCAACTCTACACTTGAGTATTTACATGCTAACCTGTAGGGTCCTGTATCAAGTACTTTAAGTGGTTGTAGATTTTTTTTTTTTAATTGTAAATGATTTTTCAAGAAAAATTTGGACCTTCTTCGAAAACACAAGTCTTATACTTTCCAAATTTTTAAGCAATGGAAACTTATGATAGAAAATCAGACAAATAAAAAGATCGAAGCACTTAGAACAGATAATGGGCTTGAATTTCGTAACTTTGAATTTGACTTCCTTTGCAAAGAATTTGAAATTTTGAGGCATAGAACAGTAACATACACTACTCAGCAGAATGATACTGTTGAAAGGATGAATAGAATTTTGTTGGAAAAGGTCGGATGTATGTTACTAAGTTCTGGACTTCCAAAATTCTTCTGGGGAGAGGCATTGAAAACTGCTACTTATATGATAAACAGAATTCCCTCAAGTACTATAGATTTTCAAGACCCGGAATATTTGTGATCTACAAAGTCTCTAAATTATTTTAAACTAAGGATCTTTGGTTGTGCTGTCTATTTTCAACAAGATGTAGACAAACTTGAACTCGGATATCAAAAATTTATTTTTCTGGGTTATGGAGAAGAAACAAGGGTTACAGACTGTGGGTAAAAGGATTAGGTTCAGAGTCATTATTAATAGAAATTTAATTTTTGATAAAAGTCAGTTGCCTTGTGAGAATTCATCACATCAAAACATTAATGAAATAACCCCTGTTAAAGAAACTGTCCTTGAAAATCTGAAAAGTGATCCTACTGAACTTGATAATTTGATTGAGGTGGAGACTACTCAATCTAATATAAATCAGCCTCATGATGAATTTGATACTGAAAATCAATATCAAGAAACCGTTTTTGAAAATTATCAATTGACCAGGGACAGAGATAGAAGAACTATGTTCCCTTCTACCAAAATCAACACAGGTGAATTTGTGACTTTCTATACTGAGCTTGAATCTATTAACTCTGAACTTACCATCTTTGAAGAAGCAGTGAACTGTAAAGAATCAGACTTTTGGCTGGAAGCCATGAAAGAATAGATGGATTCTTTAATTAAAAATAAAACATGGATCATTGCCAATAGACCTAAACATCAAAAGGTTGTTGACTTATAATGGGTTTACAAAATCAAAGAAGGTGAACCTGATTTTGGGGTTATAAGGTTAGACTCGTGGCAAAAGGCTTTTCTCAAAGAGAGGGCATTGACTATAATAAAATATTTTCCACCTGTTTCTAAGTATACCTCTATCAGAATTCTGTTGGCTTTGACAGCACACTTCAACTGGGAATTGGACCAACTTGATGTTAAGACTACTTTTCTAAATGGTGACCTTAAAGAAACCATTTATATGAATCAGTCAAAGGGGTTTGAAATCAACCTAAATCTAACCAGTTCTATTTGCTAAAAGAGTCACTCTATATATTGAAACAGGCACCCAAGCAATGGTATAAGAAATTTTACTCTTATGTCGATATGCTTATTACTTGTCATGATAGATCTGAAATTGATTCTGTTAAAGAAAAACTTAAAATTAAATTTGAAATGATAGATTTAGAACAAGTAAAAAGAATTTTAGGTATGGAGATTAAGAGAGATAGAAAGAACTGTATTCTCTATGTGAATCAAAACTCTTATGCAAAAAAAAAATACTTGAAAAATTTGCTATGACTGAAAGTGAACTTGTGACCTTGCCTATAGCAAATCATTTCAAACTTTCCAGTGAACAATCCCCAAAAATCGATGAAGAGTATGATAGAATAAGTAAAATACCTTATGCTAATGCCGTTGGCTCTATTATGTACCTTATGATATGCACTAGACCTGATTTAACTTATGAAATAAGTATTCTCAATAGATTTATGGCTAATCCAGGTGAAACTTATTGGTTAGGAATAAAATGGATGATTAGGTACTTAAAGGACACTACTGAATTGGGATTGAAATTTCAAAGATGTAATGGAAGTGTTACTTTAAAGGGTTATACATATTTTTATTTTGCAGTAACTTAGATAAAAGAAAATCAACTTTTTCTTATGTGTTTAGTCTTTGTGATGGCTGTCCCAGTTGGAAGTTTCAATTGCAAAATCTTG